TGCAACCGACGAGCTGTAGTTTACAACAGCTTTGTTGTTTGAGACGCAAACTTTCACTCCAACTTTTTCGCCCAAACCAGTAACAACACATGCCGGTGCAAAGTTACTCACCTTTAGCTTGCAAGAACATTTCCCGCATCAGTTTTGCTCTATCATGTCTTTGTGACTCAGAGGCCAGGTCAGGATTATTTACACCCTTCTTATCTGTGGCTTATTTCCATATATATTTACTGTATGTGGTTGCAGTGCACTGGCATATGAAGTGTTGGCTGTGTATTCACTGTCACCACAGCTGTGTGATGGTGTGTACGCACCCCTCACAGCCCTGTTCTACTTCACAGGACAACACTGGAGCCATTATGGAGACCCATGTGTTTCTGATTACCCAGGCACAGATTAGAGGGAGGGGAGCAGTGGTTGTTGTCTGTTTACCCCCCCCCCCCCTTATGTGGCCTGAAACTGGACATCCATCAGTGCAAATATCTCCGCCGCCCTTGCTACCCTTCCCACCTCTATGCCAAACCTTCACTACCAGGCCTATCTATCACTATATTCTTCATTTAAATATGTAAACACTGGAATCTTTGTCAGTGACCTACATATCGTGCCAAAAGCACCAAGCTGTCACTGCTGTATTCCTGAAAACATACTTTTGTTGCTTAATCATAAACACCGTTGTGGCTCCAGTGTGAGACCGCAGAAGACAGTGTTGTTTCTTTGTTGTTGCTTCAGCAATGTGATACTTATTTGACCTCCACAAAGAAATTCTCTTTTGATTTCCCTCTGGAGAGGTCAAAGGTCAGGATCAGCTTCAGAACAGTGTCCAAGAGAGTGCTCAAGGATACACCAGGAGGACTATATGTCAGCTGACCCAAACAAAGCACAAGCAATTTCTTCACATCTAAAACTAAATATGCTTTTTAATGAAATCCTGAAAATCATTAATTAGAGGTGATAATCCACGAAAATCTAAGTTTGATGGATAATTTATCAGTCAGACACCAGTAATTTTAGCATTTTATGTCAACAGAGTTTGAGTTGCTGAAAGGTATCTTTTGTTGCCGTTGTTATTTTTTTGTTTTATGTTTTGGTCTTTCCAGAAGTGGTCATTATCATTGCTGATGCGGCCAGTTTTCCATCATCCTTTGTAACGAGCCAGACGGTGATTAAAACAGCAATGTAAAAGCTTTGTCCCTTCAACCATGTGTTTGCCAATTTCATCAAAATACTTGCTTCATGAAAGGTGTCCTGAAACGTGACGAACCCTAACCTAGTCCTCAAAATAACAACAAAAACTAGCAAAAGCTTATTCCAGTTCAAGAGATCAATAATCTTGGTGCAAGTTGTAATTGTGATTTCAATCAGCAGTAGAAAGCAGTTATTGCTTAGACACAATCACCTTTTTAGGTATGATTATTGGCATAGTGAGTTGGTGCCAACTATTGGACCATGTGGTGGAAGACATATTAAGATCTTTTATGTAAAGAAATATTTCAACATATGCTTTCTTGCCAAGCATTAGATGAAAAGATCAATATCACTCTCTTATCCGTTAAATGTCAAGTTGGAGTCAACAGCTGGTTAGCTTAGCATGAAGACTGCAAACGAGGAAACAGCCTGATGGAGGGAGAAATCCACCTACACGCAACTTCAAAGCTCACCAATTAACAGGTTACATCTTGTTTGTTTAGTCTGTATAAAACGCAATCATGTGCAAAAATGGCAATTCGGATCAATTTACATGGGACTGATCTGACTATATAGGCTGTGATCTTCGTTAAAAAGCAGCAACCTCCTCTCACCTTTATCATCAACATAACAAAGACATTGCAAACAAGGTCCCGGGCAGCAAACCATCCTCATCATACATGCCTGTACAGCATAGATCCTTGGCCAAGGTCAGTAGCGTCTCACAGCCTTCTGCAGCCTCCCTGTGTGGGGAAAATTGGAGCCACTTATTTTAGGTCGTAGGTTCAAGTCAACCGCGGGCTAAACTCAGTGGCGTTCTCATTTAATCCATGAGCTGTAAATTTGCTTACAGTGGCTGTCACGCATAGACATCTCACTCCATTAGGACTCCACTCGAGTCAGGGCTGAGAAAGCAGCATTGTGGCAAATGCTGAGGATTCAACGTTTGTTAGTTTTGTGCTGGACAAACTTATTTACCATGTAGAGGAAATTATATTTTGCACCTTGAACCCCAACCTCCACAAGGTTATGTCCACTTCTGTACAGTATACAGTGGAGCCCACTCATTAGCATTGTATTCTTATTGAATGAAGTCCTCCACATGGCCTTCACTTCTTTCAACAGTGCCTCTCTTCTTTATGAGAAGATCGGAGCACAGCAGGCAGACAGGCAGCAGGCTTCCCCCCCATTTGCCCCGAGGCTCCAGACAGATAAGCGCACACACACACACACACACACAGATAACTGTTTATACTCAAACTCATACTTTTATTCATCTCCCTTGGTCATCGTTAAACAGAAAAATAAATGTCTATACTATAAACATAAAAATAAACACTGGAGCCAAATATTTCTCACCAATGACGTGCACTTCATAAGAGAGTGGACACACAAGCTTAATGTCCCCCTGGCTGGTCGGCAGCATCCGGTGCTTTGGAGAAACAGGAAGTGTGTGTGTCTTTATAACAAGCTCTCTCAGGGAGGCAGGATTACAGTGAGGTGTTTTAGCTTTTGATCTTTACCAGCTGCAAGTGTTGCCATTTGCAACACTTGCAGCTGGAAAAGTTGCTCAGTATGAGTTTTGTAAATGTTTTCATCATCTACTTCTCTGTTCTGGTTATAAATGACTGCGTTTTCCTCTTTGTCAGCAGATTAATAATAACAACATCCCCCTTTTGGCACACTGATGTAAGCTGAATTGCAATTGTGAACACATATGGTATGCATCCACACATATAGACTGAGGAGTCAGCTCCAGCAAGATCACCCAACCTCCACTAGTCATTGTGTTGTTTTTTTTTCCCCACTCTCGTCAACTCTTTCTTTCTCTAAATCAACTCCGGGCGAACATACATTGTGAGAAACAGGACTGGAACTTTAAAACACAAAGATGCAAAGCTCCAGCAAGAGAAGTGTACAGGCTTGCGGATTTACGACGGCTGCCAAGGGGAGGAAACCCTGTTAAAAAAGGGGGATTGTTTTACTGCCATTTGACACATAATCTCAAGCAGTACATGCAGAGCACAGGACTCTGAGCTGCAGAGCACTCTGTGTCTGGAAAAGATAGAGACAGAGAGATGGTTTTGCTTCAGCATTCCAGGCAGGAATGGTTTATTTTTGTTGGAAACATAATTGTCTGTGGCTAGGATTTGGAAGCACATTTTACCCGCCAAACTGTCAGAAAGTGTAGATGTGGGTGTGACCGCCCTCTTGTGGTGACCTAACGTATTCGCTTTTTAACAACACAGAGGAACACAGAGTAAACTTGGACGGGAGATATGTTTTCCTATTCCAGGGTGTTAACACAGTGCAAATGTGCTGTGCTGTCATGAGGTCTGATTTCATACACGAGTACACAATGGAATTAAACACTACTTCTCATGCAACTACAACACAGTGGGGAAGAAATAAACGAGGGAAAGAAAGAGAGAAAGAAATTCCCTGGAGTGTTGTTTGTATCTGTTGCTGATGTTTTGGCTTGCAAAACTTATTTAGGATATACAGAATGTAATAGTTAAAACATGTGGGGAGGCATATTTTTTAACTTTGGAGATATTTCCATATAACAAGTTTTAATAGAAATTAGATTTTATCAGTCTTCATATCTAACTCTCGAAAAGAAACCGAATAAGCTTATTTAGTGTTGAACTATTCCTTAGTTAGTGTATATGTTAAAAAAACACACATCAAATGTTCAAATGTGTGTTTATAGGACTTCCATAAGAGTTTTTGTGTTTTGCTGTTATAGAAGGTTAAGGATTTACAAAGGTTTATTTACACCAATTAAGAAGTAAGTGTTTAATATTTGTTTGTGAATATGAGATCCCCCCCCCCTAAAAAAGATAAATATATATACATGTGACGTTAAGGGTGATATTTTGATTTCACCCTGCATCGACAAGTGTGTAGGATTTAGTTGCATCTAGTAGTGTAGTTCCAGAGAGCAATTCCCCTGGACAAAGGAGAAACTACGGTGGCCACGAAACGTGTGAATAACATGAATGCCCCTATGTGCCAGTGTTTGTCCAGGTCACTGAAAAAACATGGTGGTTCAACATGAAGGTGATCCACAGCGTTTGTAGTTATAAAAGGCTTAATCTAAGGTAACAAAAACATAATAATCTATACTTAGGTGATACACTTATGAAGACATATGTATGAATATTATTTTCCATGTCTGCCAATAGATCCTCCTAAATGTTACACACTGGACCTTTAATATAGCTATACTCTCCCAACAGAAACTATCCCCTGAAATTAAAAATACCTTTCTTTTTAGCACATAAGTCTAAAAAGTTTCTCAACAATTATTTTTAAGAAAATGGACAAATTAGTATAATTGCAAGTGCCCTTTACTCATTTTAAGGACACCTGTACCAGTCCAGTTGAGCTAAAATGTCCTTTTCAGCAGCTATGAGAGTGTCGCTGGCTATCAGTGGCCATCAACCACCTGCAAGTTAACAGTATGGGAAAAAGTGATAAGAGCACAGATGTGCTGTGGTTTCTGCAGACCCCCAATGACATCTGATGTGGAAGAAACTATAGACTATAAGGCCAGGGGCCTTTGGGAATCCAAAACAGCCTAATAACTAAGACTACAGCTGAAGAATAATATATATGTAGACCAGTTGGCTAACCAGGGAGCTACTTCTCAAATTAACACATTTCTGATAGAAAAACAACAAGAAATAGTGAGAAGAAAAAACACAGGAGTGGCAATGCTCCCCTATAGGAATGTGTCATGGTCTTGTCCACCCTGTGAAACTGTCCAAATAAATTAAAGGGTTGTGTATTGTTGGTAATAACTTAGGCAAAAGCAGTCAAAGATACTTATTTATCGTACAAAATGTGGGCCTTCTTGGTGCTCACTCTTGCCCTCACTGTTAGGGCATCAGACACCAACGACACAGCGGTTGAAGAAAAGCTTGTTATAGCCAGAGGTAAACTGCTGGTGAGTACAGACAGAAATACTTTTAAATTTAATTTGGATACCTTTTCATGATTATAATATAAAAAAGCTTCAGGAATGAGTGACATCAGTGCAGAGTCTGAAATTAAATATACACATGAGAAGAGGACAGGGGACACAGTGACAGCATTCAACAAGCAAATGGGAAAATTAGTAAGATGAGGGATAAGTGCTGTCATGTCAGTATGTATTCTGCTGAGATACGAAACCTATTTCTGGCACCTTTGATCACACACAACAACAAAACGCGCACAATGCTATTTGTCATGCTGTTTTAACAACTGTCTGTTGTCATCCCTGCAGGCTCCCAGTGTGGTCGGATGAGGCATAAAGAAAATGCCCGAGCTCCATCATTTTCTCCTGGAGCGCTGGGCTTTGTAGTATCCTTGTGTTCCTCAGGCTTTTTGGTAAGACCTGTCTTTTCCCCAAAAATCCCCACCACAGATTTTCTCATGACCTCTTTCATAAACAAAACAATGTTCCTAACAAGTTGCCAAGTCCAGTGCCAGCTCTGTGAGCTTTCCAAAACTCTTGCTCTTCCAAGTTAAAATCACGTTGAGTGAGACTAAAAATAGCAAAACAGATGGATGTTCTTTATTCCTTCACTGCATACCTGTTGTTTCCCTTGATCCGTTCTTTCCTGTCTAGCCACAACTTGGAATACGATTCATCGGAGGAGAAGAATCCGCGTCTGATATTCTATAACGAAAAGGACGAGGTTGTAAAGGTGAGATGTGAGTTAGGGGATCTTTTTACTCATCCGCCTTGTGATGGGGCTTATCTGGGGATTGCCAGAATGTCAAGACAGATTCATGTAGGCAAGGTTTAAGACTGCTGCATCTGATATCCCATCCTCTCTCAGATACCAAGTCAAGACTGAGTGTGTTTGAAAGACTGAGACTGAGTTACATAAAAAAACAGATGGCAAGAAAAAGGGAGAAAGTATATAAATTAGGGTTTCTGACAGCCGAGCACTGAAACAGTATAGTTGGTATGAATGTTGATATGAATTTGAACATTTTTATGTCCTGAAATTACAACTTTCCCACACACTTATATTTTTGTCAGCGTGGAAAAGCCCCTGAACCTGCATTTAGGCCAGCATGGGACAATGAAACTCCACTGAAACCAATGAATTTCTTTGGCATTCGCCTCTTCTAAGCACACAAAGAGCCACTCCTGTGATTTAAATGTAAACTTTGTACATACTTTACTGCTTTCTTGAGGTTTTCACATTTTATTTTCCCTTATGAAGCTTATGTAGGAGGTTTTCTTTTGTCACATTGGTTTTCATTTACTGTTTCATAATGTGGGTGCCTTTTGAGACAGTAATTTGACTTTAAACGAAGAATTATTTCTGAGGCTAAATTAAAATCCTAAATTAAACTTATTGAACAAATAAATGAAAACAAATATGCAAGAGGAACCTTTATATCAGCACTGACTGAACAAGTTTTCATAAAAATCCAATTTTGGTAAGCCAAACAAATGTATCAGCATAAACCTGCGTGAATCACAACACAGTGTGTGTCTGCAAACACACACTTCTCTGCACACAAATAATTTACACTGCATCACTGCTTATAAGCCTTTAACCATGTGTCCAAATGCATGTGTGTGGGTGTGCTTGTGTGTGTCTCCTTCCCGACACGTCAGACTGTTCCTGTGAAGAAAATGAAGGCAGACGAGATCAGCAGCCTGTTAGACTCACTTGGTTTCTACAAGAGGTCCCAGAAAGGGGAAGAGGTGCCAGAGGAGTTCCAGCATTTCCCCCTGCAAACCCCCAGGGACGAGCTGTGACGACACCTTGTGGCCAAACTCTGCCGCTGCACCCCAGCCACATTAATGATGAGTGGGGCCCCAGGGCCAAAACGATAAGCCAGGCACCATTCTGAGGACTCGTTGGCCGGGTGCCGCATGCAGAGTGTTAGTCATTGCTGTGTCACTCTGTTTATATGTTGAATTTAATAAATCAGTCAATAAATGTGTAAAACACCACAATAAATGATGGAGTGTATTGATGCATTTAATGTGCCTGATGTATGATTTAATGTAGGCTATTTATAACCTGGAATGGAATGGTATTAAAACATTGTACAGCACATAGTGCACACAGAAGTCTGCATGGGAGAACAATAAATATACAGTATGTGTGTAGATTTTTTTTTTTTTACTGAACATGCATTGTTCTGGTTCTGGTTTTGGTCCCATTTTATCCGTGCACAGCTTGAATAACTGCTAAATACTCTGTTTAGATAAACAAAGGTACTGAGCATCCTGAATGGCCACTAACTTACTTAACAAACTGCCATGCCGCTGTCTCAACCTAATCCTCAGCCCGCCCCCCTTCACTATAATCTGATTAGCAGTAGTGTCTGCCAGCGTGCGTCTGTGTGTGTCCATCTGTATCTGTGCCTTCATGCATTTGTGTACTTGTGTGGTTTAAACACAGCAAGGATTAGCAGTAGACACAAGGGACACAAACACAGTTTTGGACTGTTACACTTCCTGATTCCTCGGCCTTGTCATGGTCACCAGCTCTACCCACAATGCCTGTGTTTTACTCACCTGTTCCCGAGAACCTGCAGTTGGGTCTGGCCTACATGGGAGGCTCTGTGTTCACCAACAACAGGACAGCAGACAGCGACTTCACCAGGGAGCAGGAGGACGCCTCTGGTTAGTTACTGCTTCCACAGACTGCTACAATGTTAGATAACATATTAGAATACATCATAATATAGTATATTGATTGCAAACATGTAACACATGGGATTATGTGTAACTGAAACAAATTTTGGTATGCTTCTCTTGACATATTGATTATATTCTTATTGAGTGATGCTATGCTTAATGTATGTTTTGGCCTTTTTAAAGATTTGTTACTTGTCTTATGTCGCTTTAAAAAGTCTTACTGTCATTGGATCTACCTTTGCAGGGCTGGTAATTGTGATTAAGTTACATTAGAGGTTATGTCCCTTTTCTTGAGCTGTATACTTGAGCTGAATACATCATTTTTTCGACCTTCTGTATACTTACTTACTTATATATTTGTATTGTGCTGCAATACACAGACAAACATACCCCTGAAATTTAAATAGTGGAAAATTGTATTCCACACATCAGTCTTCTACTGGTATTGTGAAAAATATATTATTTTTGATTGTGAGTGTGTTCATAATAGTGAATCCTGCATGTGATGAATATTAGTGTTTAGTGTTAGTCTTGATATTTGTCTTGCAGTGGTCAACGAGCTGGTATCCCACCTTCCCCTGCAGATGCTGCTGTACTTCAACATGTTTTATTTCCCCTGCTGGTGGTTTTCTGCTGTTTTCATGTTGGAAGTCAAGGTTAGTTGGTGATTTATATTTTCATTACTAGATCCTTCATGTTTTTAGTGTTTCCTTTTAGTCTGTTCTTGGTTCAACTGACTTATAAAGGAACCAGGAATTGTAAAAATGAAGTCACAAGGAGGTCATTCATTGGACAGTTCTGATGACCTGTCATGTTGTCATATGGACGGTGAAATCAAAAGAAGGGTTATTCTGGTGAGCAAGTCATGCTGCACTGTACTGTACTGAACTGAACTTAAAGGCTTTACCCATGTAAATGGAAAAAAAATATATACTCAAGCATATGAAAACATTTTAGTCAGGATACTTGTTATGTGTTCAGAAGTAGCAGAAGTTGTGTTAAATTAAATCCACTGCGCATCAAATAGGAAAACATTTGGCTCTGGCACCGTCTAGTGGTGGCAGCAATAAGGATCCCCTCACATCTAACCAGGAAAATAATAGTGTGGAAGCAAGACATACAGTTGACTGCACCACTTTTCATTTGTATTATCTCATATTTCTGTAAAGCCAAACGTTATGCCATCTGAATCATTTGAAAGAATCACTTCGTACTTCCTACTTCACTTTTATTCATATTTCTAGGTATGTTTTGCTGCTAAATAGTACACTTTCCTGACATACTGACATTCCAGCTCTGCTTTATTTCCAGTTCTATTATCTTCCCGGGTACTACCAAGCTCTGCTCATAACTGGGATGATCCTCCTCACAGTCATTGAAGTGGTCCGACTTTATCTAGGCTACATTGGCAACCTTAAAGAAAAGGTAATTCAAACCAACATCCTCTCTGAAGCACAACACAGAGCTCTTTATGGACCCGTCTCCTGAATAACATAGAGGAGGAAGTGGCTGCTTAAGTATTCTGCCTGTGTGTGTAAACAATCAGCTCTTGGCTACAACTGTCTATTGAGTTTGTGTGTTTGTGGCTGTGTGTCTGTGCTTTCATGTGGATACAACCGAAACACTTGATGCCTGACTGCTCTATCTTTGCATCGCCTCCATCCACCAACCCAAAACTTTCTCTCCCCTTCTCTCATCATCAGATGCCAGAGCTGGCAGCCTTCTGGCTCCTGTCTTTCATGTTCCAGCTGCCAGTGCTGCTGTTCTTCCTGACCGATGAAGGAATTATCATCCTGCCTCTAGAGAGAGCCGTCCACTCTCTCTACCTCCTCTTCCTGCTAGCCCAGATCCTGGCCTCCTTCCTGGCACTCAGGACTATGACACGAAAGCTCACCTTGCTCTTCCATCTGCGCCAGTTTGGCAAGGTGGAGAGCTTCCACCACGCAGGGCTGAGCCCTGTCTACGGTCTGCCCTACCATCGCAGCGTGCTGCCCATGTCACCCCTCCATGAAATGTACAATTAAAGTAAAAATAAAATCAGTTCAGTTAACCTTGAATGTTTTGATATTTTCAATTTGGTGTCTAAAGAATTCTAATTTTTCATTTACATTTAAAACTGGGTGTCATTTATATATATTATACCTGAATTGCATTCTGGTCTATGGTTAAAAGAAAAACTGATGCATTTTCTGGTGATATTTTAAAAAGATGAAAAATCATTTTAGCCCCTCTCGAAATGTCAGAATCTGTCAGCCAAACTGCCATGGAGCGACATGCCTTCACAGGGTAATAAAGTAAAATATGCCATCAAACAACAAAATGGGCTCAGAAATACAAGGCAGTACATTGCCAGTAGCTGCTTTCATCAAACAGTGTTAAAGGGGTTTCATTTTTTTCTGTTCTTTAATGATGATGGATGATGCAGGCTGGAGTGTTGGTGGAACAGAGTCGTTTTTGCAGAGGCAGATTCAATTGTTTGCCCATGAGACAAGATTAGGGTTTTCCTAGGTATAAAACAACCTGTTTTCCTTTTGTTTCTATAAGGAACAATGTAAGACTTGCATTCAATTGTTCCAGTTTATCTTTAAGTCGTTCCTACAGTATATAATATTACCATCACTGTTTGATAAGTGCGATGTGGGAATTAAATTCCATAAAGCTTGTGAAGTGAAAGAGTTTAAATCTAACTGCAGAAGAAACGTGTTAAATATTTATGACCACACAGTGGCAGTCAGCGACCAAAAGAGGGATGGGGAGCATTTGACAGTGCTGCAAAGTCCAATGAGAACAGATTATCATGCAGCACATGTCCTGGTCAGGAAACCCTCTGGCAGCAGAATAAAGGTTAGGCATGTCCACACTTGAATATTATTTGATAATCTATAACTCTGTGTCGTGTCTACATGGAAATCTATTGCATATTTTGTTCTCTACAACTGCCTTTACTCTGTTTGGATATAAACTGTAGCCACTATGGGTGTCACACTTGTTTTACAGCAAGCTTAAAGTCACTATTTGGTGCTCTATTATATATTTGCTGTTGAGAAACTATTTTAGAGTGTGGTGCACTAACTTGTTAACAAACTGGTTATGTGAGATACATAGTTTCTGTGATCGAACATGCTTATTCCGGTCTAGTTTACATTCAGGAAACAACAAGCTGCAGTGGCTGCTGCACTGTTCATGGAGAACAGAAAAAAAACAAAAAACATTGGAGGAGTGGAGGATGCAATACATGCTCACCACTTTATGTAGAAGTGGGTGCTCAAAAGACACCTTAAATGTGAGGTCACAGTGCTGCGAAGAAAAAACAAACATGAGGAGTCTGTTTACTTGTCTATGTATCTATTGGTAGTCCTTAGAGTTAAGACTGAAAGGGTTAAAACAGGCTTACCTCCACTTAATAAGCAAAGTGACACCAAACACATTTAAGGTTTCAGATGCTCAATTAAAAAAGATCTTGAATTTTTACCTGTGTGACCTTGTGGAGTGCAAGAAACTGCCACCAGTACTGATGATAAAGCAGATTGGTTTGGAGTCATTCCTGTTTTACTAGGGTCCTATGTTCCCAGAGTCCTATGATCCATGGTTCTATAAAAAATAAATAATATGTCTGGAGCCACAAAATATATAATTTTAATTTCTGTCCACACATGAAGCAAGCAGCATTGGTGATGAAGCAAACAAATCTGTCCACCTCCTATTAAATTCTCTTTTTTTCTTTTGACACATTTGGTTGTTGAATTTGGAGTTTACAGCTAGCCTAGCTACAGGGACGCAAGACTAGTAGCCACCACTATTGACTTTCGCAAGAGGTAAAGCGCCAGGACATAACATATGATGATATTTTAGCTGACAAAATGTTAAAACCTTTTTTTTTATTTGGTTTGGATTTGGTGTATAATGGCTATTTTAGGCCTAAAAACAATATAATAATAATTGAGGGCCGCAGGTTGCTTACGCCTGTTCTAGGATTAGGGTGTTAGGGAACTGTTTCCCAGGGAACATAGAGATATGTTCCCCTTGGTTTGGTGCTCCTAACACAAAGATAGAATTAAATGAACCAACGCTAACAATAGGAGATAAACAAAAGTTTACTTTAATATTAAATATGGAAGATTAGTTAGATAGTCTTTATTGTCCCAGCAGGAAATATATTTCCACTGCTTGCACTTGCAGGCACTACACTGCTTGATTCTTTGAAAAATATGCAGACACGTACCACACATACACATTTGTTCCCCCTACATATATCTAAAAATTACATATATGCATGTACACAGACATTTATGTGAACAGAAGAGTGGTCCAACCGGTGGTCATTAAACTGTTTAACTTATTCCCACCCTGTTGCAGTATGGGCATCAGTAGACTGGGAGGATGCTGAGGACTTCCTCATTGGACTTTACAATTCAATTTTTGACAATTGCTGGCACAGTTCAAGACATATTTTTTACATATATAAACTCTCCCTACCTACCTACCTACCTACCTACCTAAGCGAGCCCTCTACCATTTAAAGTCCTGTACCTGCGATCAGACAAAAGTAATGTAGTATGAGTAGTGGATTCACAGGGAGGTCAGTGTCATTAGCTTTTATCAGTGCTATGCATGTAACCATAAATAGAATGTGTAGATATTGTGTGTGTGTTAATTTGGCAAGAAATAAGACAGAAGTTTAATGTATGATTATTTCCTATTTTCTTCGATTTCTTAATTAGTTAATCACCAGATTTTGTTCACCTGCCTGCACAGTTGCACCTTGTCACTCATTAGCTCTTTCCAGTTTATATATAGAGGGCAGTTTTCAGTTACTGATTGTTTGTTGTCTCCCTGTGTGATGTCTGATTACTACTGTTCATGCCCTAAAATCCCTCACTACGGAGCAGGAGCTGATCCTACCACCTATGCTGCTTTTTAAATCAGATCAGTTTTTAAAAGAAAATCTATCACATTACTTTACAATCTAAAAACGTAATTTACAACACGACATGAAGAGCACCAGGTGTTTGTCTTGTTTGAGTAGTATTTCAGTGCAAACAGAGCTAAAGCTGTATCATAATGGCAGATGTTCAGAGAAGTGAAGTGCTCATGGAAAAGTCCCTTTCAACATGTTTATCATCTTTAGTAAAGCCAAAGAGAACAAGACAAACACATGCAGACAAAAAGAGGAAATTCTGAGAAAGATTAGCTCTAAAGCTGCAGGCATCAGATACAGCTATGATCCTCTCAACCTTGTTCTCATTTGCTAACAGTAATTATACCAAGGAGCCACACTTAATCTTATTGTCATGTATTAATGCTCTAAATGCTACTCAGAGCTACTTTCAATGTTTAGTCTGTTTTCTCCTTTACGGTCAAGAGAAATCTAGTGCTCATATGCTCAATGAGAAATAGCAGTCCTGGTGTCAGCTCATATCTTTCTCAGAGTGACAGTATGACATGCATTCTGTATTCTAGCATTGCTTTCATGCTCCCCACTCTCCAGAGAGTACTGTATGTTCACCAGGATGCTCTGACCCATTTGGCTTCTCCTATATCTGGTTTTAATAAGTATGAACTCTGTTAGGTGTTGAGGAGAGAGAAGATTAACCAGCTGGTGGTGAAAAAAGGAATCGAAATTCCCCATGGAGACATAGTGGTCACATCTGAATCGGCTTTTGGCACCTTTCGCCTCATCAAATTGCCTTTCTTGGGTAGAGTGTGGTGAATAATAGCCTTGGATAATCTAGGGACATAATGTTCTCTATCTCGCTAAACATATTGTTTCCCCCCCATGCTTTCTAGTATCCTTTTGAAAATGTACTCCCTGCAACTTCTGATCAAGTTTTTTTCTTCACGTCTTTTTACCAAAGTACAGCAGCGTAGCTAGGCTTCGGTGAGTCTGTCATCACCTTAATTATGATTGGGTGCAGCTCAGAGGTAATCACAAAATGTGACTGACGAGGCTGTCCTAAGCAGCAGCGGGAAGCAATATCCAAGACATCACAGCAACATCCTCATCCCTTATTTCAGTAATCCCTCATGGTGGCGAGCTTGTGGACCCTGCCAAGACGCCTGGAAGTGTTCCTATTCTTTTAATCTAAGATGGTTAAACAATTACTCTTAACCCTCATGAATTATTGTAGTTCAGTTTCATTCATAACCTGTGATGACAAGTTGCTAATACACACAATTGTTGTTTAAAGGGTTAGTTCACTAATTTACAAAAAAATTTCTCACTTACGTTTTTCTTATCATCAGTATATCCTGTGACAAGACCAAAACTGACACTGAATTCAGTATTGCCTATATAGCCAAAATAGTAGGCAAGATATAGTATATATTTTTTTTGTATCTTCATTATGAGGATGAACCTGTGGACTGTTGTTTTAAGTGGTGAGTCAATCCTACATACATTGTCGTGCTGTGAATGATTGCTAGTGAATCAAATCTGCAGCTGAAAATACACCAATTACACTATTTACTCCTGTTTTAAGTAATTTACTAAAAGCTGCTTTAGGAAATTAGTTGTGAGCTGTTTTTTGAAGATTTGTGTCTTCAGTAGCAAGTATAATGGTCTTGGGGCTGATTGCCAGGTTAGGGAATAATTGAGAGAAATCGTTAGTTTGGATCTTTTTATGTCATTTGTTGACAACAATAAATTACCAGACTTATCCTTTAAAGAAACAATGACTATAGGATTTAGTGGCATCAAGTGGTGAAGTTGTTGACCAACTGAATACCGCTTGTATGAGAGACTATGGTGCCCGCAAAATACGAAAAATGTGAAAGGCCCTGAGCTGTAGAAGCATGGCAGTTCAACATTGGGGACTCGTAGAAAGTGGATGAATCAGACCATTAACTACCTAAATCTGCTAAGCTAATAAAGAAGCTAATTAAACCAGTAAGTAACCATCCACAACTGGCCAACCTCTGCAGGCCACTGTTATTCCTCCATAACCTGTTTCCATTAGCAACTGAAGGAAAATACTCCCGAGGCCTGCAGGGAGTGTCAAGCTGCGAGCCTACCATAAAATCCTCT